GAATTAGCCCTCCTCTGCGGAATAGAAGAGCGACGAGATTTTTGGCATAGGTAAGGGGACTCCACCTCTTTTGATGTATTGGAGTCTCAGCTGCAATGCCACGATGGTCATACCACCACAATAACGACATGACTCATCCATGAAGGCTGCCTCAGCGTGTTCAAGGCCCAAACACGTGATGCAACGATCGTGACTGTCATCCGGCGCCAGGTAACGACCGCATCCAGAAACGCACGGGTGAAACGGCATCTTTAAAAAGACGATCCGTCGTCTTTAAAAAGACACACCTGCTTATTGTACTCTTTTAGAGAAATTGGCTCTTTTAGGGAAATGCTCTTTTACGTGCTGAGACGCACAGGGGAAACGGCGGTTTGCAGCACGACAGGGGGGTAGTGCAGCCTGAAGTGCACAACCCACTCGACACAGGAACGACCACCGCTGAAGCACCGTCCGCCAACACAAAAAGCTCCCGAGAACGCGCTAGACTCGTCACACGAAGCAGTTTGGTAGGAGCAGAACGATGTTGTCGCTCGGGTCCGAAGTGAAAAGCTGGTATACGTTGCACCGGCTGCCTTTTTATGCTCACGCTGTAATCAGCGGCAGCTGGATGCAATCATCGCATGCCAATGTGCATTGACTCGTTTAGTTTACACTCGAACTGGATTGGTCTCTCTAAGCGAGATCCCAATTCGTCGGTCACCGACGTGACTCGGAGTGACCGACTGAAAGGGAAACGTACTTACAGGCTGTGAGTCAGAAGCGCCAGACTGTCCTTGCAAAGTTGGAATTGCCCCACTTTATAGAAACAGACACTGGCATTGTAGGCTACTCTCCCAGGAAACAGTCTTCGTCCTCAAAAAAATGCGCTGCACACATCTGAATATTTGGGTTGAACTGTTCCGGTACAGTGTTGTAAATACAACTTAACCACTGATTTCTAGCTGTGTCCTCTTTTGGAAGGCCAAACAAAGTAGTTTCGCTTTCATAACGAAACATACAGCGTCTCCACAACATGGCGGTGGCGGCAGCAACTACTACAGGGAGAATAAAAGTTACGCCTTCTTTCTTTGCGTGAACATTTGGGCGGCGTTATGCAAATCTTCCCACATCGTGACGTAGACATGTGGGGGCGTCTTAGAATGAGCCGTTTTAGGTAGGCATGGTTGACTCTTAACTTTTATAAAGAATATCTCTTTGGATTTGAGACTTTAGTCTTTGCAACTTTACAGATCTTCTTTATGCAGCAAGAGTTTGTAACACTCCAAAGAGAAAGGAAAAATTGAAATCGCACCATATGACCCCTTTTAAAGAGTCACAAAATGGTATTTATTGTTTGAATTTCTTAAAAAAATAAATTTTAAAGCTGAGACTTTGTTTCATACCTAAAGTAACTTGCTCTGTCTTGTCTGGCAGCATGTTGTCAGTTTCCTCTTTACTGTATTTTTCACTGCGTGATAACATCATGTGTGGCATGAGAGCGGCATGGCTTGTTGAACGTAGGAACAGTAACTAAGGGGGGTCTTTGCGAAGGGTCAATTTAGAGTATAGCGGGAGGTTGCTGGCTCAGGTTCTGAGATGACAGCATGAACATCTTTCTTACAGTAGACAATGACTTCTGGAAAAATTGAAGTTTGCACTTTACTGCATGTTCAGAAGTAGCTCGCTGCCTATGGTGAGTGGTTGGCGGTGGCATCTGGTAAAATAGATTGAAATAATTAATAATAAATAAATTACTAGTAAATGCATAATTACCAAACTAAAATTGCATGCTCTAAAAATTTTTTTTTTGCATTTTTCTCATATTGTAAAAAGCATAAACTGTCTGAAATATATTAAAAATGACCAAAACTGCATAAAAATCTATTCCAAATGATACTAAAATAAAGTATTTTATGTATATAAACCATTAATTTAATATAAAAGCACAAAAACTGCCAATGTAGTACATATATCTATAATGGAAAACACTCTGCAGTGGTCGCACTACATGATATTTGGTCACACCACATGATATTTTCAAATTCTGTCAAAATTTACAGGCACAGAATTGGCCACCTAAACAAAGCTTCCCACAAAAGGTAACTATGAAATTTATAATAAAAATAAATATTTGTAGAAATAACAATGTCTTTGTTTTTTTGAGGTCATACCACATGATATCCAAATGTGGCAACTACACAATCTAAATTTGAGAGCGTGTTACAAACCTGCTCGATGCTGTCAGAATCTATCATTTTTTTGTTCGATTTTCATTTTAAGCACAGTAATCTTGAACATATTGTATTATTGCTTTGTTATCTGGGTAAATTTCACCTTCATAAATCCAGAGCCATTCATTGTAAACCTAACTTTATGTTTAGAATGTTTTCATCTGATATAAAGTCCCTTTTTACTTTGTACTTTTACTTTGTAAACATTTGAACTCAAAGGCTTCTAAAACATTTAACATTCTTAAGTCTATTGTAAGGTATCTTTAAAAGTGTTTTTTTTTTTTTTTTTTTTTTTTCTTTTTT